GCGTGCTTGTAATATTCCCAGAATTATTTCATTCTATGAACAGTTCCAGTAACTACTGTTGTAACCACTAATTGCTTAACCTTTTTGGAAAAGCACCCCGTAACAAGAAATCCCATAGTGATAACAATAACTGATATCGGCTATTTGTATAATCACTCATTGCTTCAAGATATGTTGGTAGTTCAAGTTTAAAATAATTGTAATTCTCTGGCAGTGATTAAAGAAATAAAGGAGGCCTCTATCAGACACTACTTTATCAGAAACTACTAGGAGGGAATGACTATAGAGTAGGTCCACAAGTTACTAACAGCAGTAGTACAGCAGTTACTAACTACGACTACTCAGGCTGTGTGGTTTATCAAGAGTGTAAAAATAAGACTTCTCTGGCAGCTTATATTAGACATTCAAACAAACAGTCACATTCAAACTTGTCTGCTATTACTGTTTGACCTCAGTTTGAACTAACAAAATGAAACACTTACTGTAGTCTATAGATTACTGTCTCAGTGGATTTACTGGTTAATCCTACAAGCTAGGAATGTAAGCAGCTATTGCTCACCAGTGATGTCCATGAAGGCCCTCTCCCACATATCATCCACAGTGTAACACTCTGCTGAGGTAATGTTGACTGACAGCACAATGTCATCTTCCACGTATTTCAGGATCAGGTTGTTCACCACAATGTTCACGTTGTTCACTACACGTCGGATCAGACTCTGCACGTAACCTACAAACACAAAGGTGAACGTGGAAGTAACATGTTAAACTGTTCAATATGTACACATAAAAAAGCACACAAAAAACATATCTGATCAAAGAGATAAGCATGCACACAGTGAGCACAGTAGATATTTTAGTTTATATCCAATAACATATTAAAACAGATTAACTTTGTGTTGAGATACTGTCAAAGAATATAATCTAGAAAGGCATTTCCTTAAAGTCCAGGCCCAATACCACTGGCCCTTGCCATCCTCATGGGCTCGTAAATAAGAGGAGGTCCTGACATGTTATTTTTTGCCGCAGTCTATCCCTTAGACATGTACAGCGAAAGAAGCTAAATATCCATTAAAAAAACATTTTTATACCTCACCCTGCATGAGCAGCTCTACAAATCCTGGGTGAATTTATGAACCTCTGAAGGGCTCTCCTCTCCTCAGTTTCAAACTCCTGTTTAACCCAAAACTATGCACATGCTGCCTTAAATATATCCCTCCCAGTCCCATTAAACCACTGAGAAGTCTGCGTGTTCATTTAAACATAAACAGGCTTCGTTGCATGAACACACACATCCATTCACACATAAAAATACAGGACTTTAATATACATATTTATACAACATAGAGTTATTGAAGGCGCATTAAAATGCTGGTACAACAAATGCCAAGAGTTACAGTAAATTACACAATCTGCCAGTGGTGAACATTCAATACACATTCAATTATAGTGTTATCCCTCAACAAGTGTAGGTCAGCACATATGGAAATGTATTGTAATAGATGATATATGACAAGAATATCGATAGGGACTTTCAACTTTTGTAGTGAGGAAGAGCCAAAGCAAAAGACGTCAGTTTTAAACAAATGAAAACAAAAACATACACATTTTAATTTCTTGAAGGTGAAAGGTGGGAGGATGGCACCTTGGTTGAAGAGGTGAATGAATGTAGTAACCAAAAGCAAACAGGAGAGAAAAAGCAGCCTGGCAGATTGAGTTTCAACAGAGCTGAGGGAGCCATCCTGCAGTGTTACCAGTACCTCCTAATGGCCACAGTGACGCCCAGAAACAGAAGCTTCGCAGGAAAAACATACATGGTAAGGTCATTACTCAACAAAGTAAGAAAGAACTTAAAATATTACAGACAGGGGAGTTTCTACCATAAAATATGAAAATATACAGCAATAAATCCTCCTAACCACAGGACCAATGGCATTATTCATTCCTCCCATGTACTGTTAAACACAGTCACTACAAGTTAAAACATATAAAGCTTTAATGCTTTTCCCTTATTTTCCAAACCAAATGTTTTTCTTCCTGTATCTACATGCCTGGCCCTGGGCATAACAGAACCGATAATTAGGCAGAACTAAATGGTGCTGTTGATGAAAATATTTATATGAATTGGTTAACTGTTCTGCCACTTGTACACAGGCCCGACTACGTATTAGCATAATCCAATTGACAAAATTCTCATGAGTTTGCTGCCTGACCAAACAGAGTGGCAGGAAGAGAGGATGACATAATATAAACTCAACTCATAAACGCAATGTGTGTTCGTGACATTTGTGCGTGGCCTTGCATGCATGCATGTGCTTGTCTGAGTTTGAGTGTGCGCTTGGCTGCTTTCTTGTATGCATGAATGTGGCTGTGCGTGTGTGTATGTGTGTGTGTGTGTGTGTCTGTCTGTGGTTCTGGGGTCAGTCAGAAAGCTGGTTGCACCTGCAGCCTGGGCAGTAAAACCAGCACTTTACCCCCTGCTATTTCCCTCTCTGGATCTAATTTACCCATGTCAGGGTGTCTTTCTTTCCCTTTTGCACTCTCTTACACTTGTTATACCTCTTCTTGCCTTGCACCAAGTCCAAGGTCTCAATCCATCTCTCTGCAAACCATCGCACTGCTCTGAACTTCTGTAAACAATTGACACAGGCAGCACCTGTGCTGCGGCCCACAGGGAAGAAGCCCACTTAAAACAGTTCAACCATAAAACGACTGGAAAAACCAGCTCCTTTATGTGATCTAAGTGCTCTCTTCTGTGCAATACAGGAAAGAAACACTATACTGTACATGCTCACCATTTTTCTTGTATATGGAAAGTATTAGCAACTATTAGCCTTGCCAGTTATTAGCCATGGAGAGAAAGACTGACGTCCATCAGACAATAAATACACTGTAAGGTGTTCCTGTGATGTCGTTAATACAGCTAGCAGTGTAACCAATGGAATACATACAGTGGCTAAACTCAATAAATCTGTTTAATTTTTTAATCTTTTATCTGCAAAACATAAAACAAAATAGCATAAACAAAGTCATACAAGGATCTCATATCTACCCTGGCAATAAAAGCCACCTAATTATGCTAAATTCGATTAGCTTTAGGGTCTCTTATAGCAAAATGGTAGATTCACAGAACCAAACCATGCATGGTACAGCAGGTCTCCAGAACAGAAGAAAGCTCCAGCTGGAGAAAGCTCCAGCCTTTACCAGGATAGGATATTCTCTATCCATAAGTAGTATTTTCCAGTAATACCAGAACAGCTGCTGTATTTATTTTCTTAGCAAAGACCCCAGTACCAGGACAGCAGTAGCACTGGACCATGGATTTATCTCAAGAGTGTGTTTGCATTATAGTACATGCAACTCTCAATCTCCTTCAGTCACACGCACACTCGCACAGGCATGCATGCATGCACAACACTCAAAGCAACATAAGCACATTCACATATGAGACATAAATGTAAGCGTATGTAATTACACACTTGTCCAGATTCAGATTCAAATTCAGATTTGTTTTATTGTCATTGCAACGAGTACAATGCAACGTAAGGTGCAGTCCTTTCAGTGCAAAAAACAAAAATATAAGAACTTTGAAGAACAATAAAAACTTTGTAAAACACTATATACAATATAAAAGAAATATATATATATATATAAAACAATCAAAAAGAACTCTATATACAAGATGAAACTAAATGAAATTAAATAATGAGCAGCGTATATTGCACAGAGTGGATATTGAGCAGAGGTAGTGGAGTTGTCCAATGTTTTTGTGTGTTTTGGATAAGCTTAGGAAGGGTTACATCACACACCAAGTTCGGTGTTAAACAGCTACATATAACCTGCCGACTTGTCCATTGATTTTGATTGACTGTAGCAATCGGTTTCAAAAATCTACAACCCATCAGTCAACATTTTTGAGGATCTGTCTGAAGATCAACTGCACTATGTTTGGAACAAAGACTGAAACAAATTGGGTCTGTAAAAATGTTTGAAATCTTTCCATAAAATCCAAGATGGCGATTGTATTGATTAGGCTGACATGAGTCGGCATTGGGATCTCCCAAAAATAGCAAAAAATATTTGCTTAAGCAAACACATCAGTATTTTTACGCAAAACACATTTATCTTACTGCAGTGCCCCTAGCAGTCAAAATCTTTGTACTTTCTCAAAACAGTGTCCTAAATCCAACAAGTTTGATGCATAGCTCTTGTATTGCTGAGATATGACCTTACTCCTGTTTGCCAGCTTTACTGTCAATTTTGATTGGCTATGATGGATGGACACCTTCAAAACTCAAAAATCCATATGAAAATTTTTGTCTGCACTTTCGAGAGAAGTTGATGGCATCGCCGTATATACGATAGTTTTCCTGTTGCAACGTCTCAAACATGTCACATGACTATATCACACCAGTGTGACGGCGGACCTCTAAGGGTTCAATTAGCATTTTGGTAAGAGGGCGCAAGCCGAGAGTATGAGGGCGCAGGCGCCCCTGTAACATTATTTAGTGAATGGGTGTGTATGCTGCTTGGCTGCTTGTCTCCTAATGATGCCCAAATAGGGAAGGTATGTCTGCTACCACAGCTGCATACAAGCTTCCTTTACCTAAAGATGCTGTCATACTGTGACGACTGTAAAGAGAATGCTATTGCAAATAATAACATCTGTTTCAAGGCAGAAGTACGGCTTCTCATCCACCCAACTTACAGGTACCAGGCTTAACCTAGTATCAAAGAGAGACTTGCCACTATTAAATCTCTTTGAAGTCATATAAAACAAAACACATTTTCAACAGTGTGAATAGGGCCAAAGCAGAAATCCCTTACCAGATAAATGTGGTTCTCACAAACGGTGGCCACTGGTCCCCCACAAGCAGCAGTAAACATAATCACTCACAGAATCGCCCAAGGTGGAAGCACTTGGTCTTTGGTCTTTGTGTGGCTACCAATCCCATGGCATATGAATTAACATCCCTATTTTCCACCACAGGGTGAACAAGTGGGATAAATTCATTCAGTATGTGAGAGCTTAGGGCCAAATGATTGGATAATTGCAAGTGGCTGCCTTTTGGTGTCGCCGTGTTTTGTTTTGGTTATTTTGAAGAGGATGGGACAAGACGCAAAACAGTGGTTTGTCAACATAGATGCTGACGAAGAGGTAAGACTGGCCATTGACCTATGATGGTGTGAATGCTAACACAGGTCTTCCTTAACTTGAACAGAATTGCACATACTGCCACATAACAATAGCATCTATCTACATCTGTCTGTGTCTGGAACTGCCTTCTGAGGCAACAGCATTGAAATGTAACTAACTTCATATTTCAGGAAGCATACATGTGGCTTTAAAAAGGATGGCGGCCAGACAAGAGAAGCCTCAATCCCCTGTTTCTTGTCCAATCCGAGTCTTCTAAAGTAGATTTATACATACAAAGGCGTACAGAGAAAATTAATATCATCGTGAATTTGTTCTTGCAAGAGCCTTTAAAACATGCTTTTGATTGTAAATAATAAAGTATCAATTAACCACAACAGCAGAGCAGAAAATGTGCCTGAGCCTGTAAAAATACACTTTTTTCCCCCTAACTCACAACAATGACTAATCACCTGGAATTGTTGGTGTGGATCCTTTTTGAACAAATAACTAAAAGTGTGTTGAAGTGTCTGGATGCCAAAGGACAGCAACATCTCTCTCCATGTTTCTTTTCAACAAAATATAAAAAGTCTACAAAATTACCTGTGTGCACTGCTGTGCTTTAACCTAAAAAAAAACATCTTTTAACTACATTAAATACTCCTGACAGGTTTGGCATGTATCTTATTCTTAGAAAAATATCCTCTGCCTGAGTCATAGCAGGTTAGTTTTACCTCATCTACCTTTTAACCTCTACCTTTTAATTAGGAAGGCAGGGATTATGGCATTCATCTGCTTCCTCACGATTATTGAGGTGCTGCAACCTCTGACCCCAGAGTTGTCTCTACAGCCTGTAATGGGTTGAAACAAGGACCACTGGTGGAACAGTGTGGGGTGTGCACATATATAAACACAGACGCACTAAAAATCCTACCCACACAAAGCTACACATAAGCACATACTCGCACAGAAACACACACCTGGGAGATCTGTTGGAGGCAGGCCCAAAGGGAGATGCTGGGGTGTGAGGCACCCTGCTTTAACAGCTGGGGATAGATATTATCTCATAACATCAGGCCTGGAAATGGATCCTCCCCAGATACAACCGGCCAGGAGTGCAAGTTCATACATTCATGAATACTAGGGCTCTGGGAGTAAACCTTTGGTTGTTGGACTGACCTAGCTCTTACGGCTCAGGACCCCCACCTCTCTCGTTTCTTTTTCTTCATTTCGACTCTCTTAAAAGCCATATCTTTTATTTATATTTCAATTTCCCCCACAGCACCTTCTTACTTATGTTGTTTTTGCTATAAAGTGTTGCCACGCCTCTGTAACTTGTCATTGGTTCAAATTTTTTCCCCCACAATTTTGGGTCTGGGAGGTTGTAACGTACATTATATGCTGAGTAGCAGTTTGAGTATCTCAATAAAACGTTATACTTGTACATATACTTAAGTAAGATTCAAATACTCTGAAAGCATAAACATAAATAACCCTCATCAGCCAATATTAGGTCTGTGTAAATTACTTTTAAAAGGCCATTATCCATTCACAATCAAACAAGACCATTCTTTGTAAAGTGAAGTGAAGTGCTGCAGCTAAGTCGACATGGCATCCATGGCCCTGTAGGAGGCATGTGGTCAAGTGGCCTTGTTGATAAGAGCCATCACTGTGTGATTTATCACAGACACATCCCCCATGCTCACTCTAGCTGATTTACACTGGTGAAAAACACGTGCTCCAGGACTCATACCAAAATCCACATTTCTCACAGTGTAAACAGGTGTTACAATCTGGTCATTCTCCGAGCAGGGACGTAGAACAGTCTCACTGGGCCCTGGGTCATCACTCACCTGGGGGCAGGTCAGGGTCAGTAGGTGCAGCCTGCTGGAGGCGGCGAGGCTTGGCCACAGCCTTGGAGCTGTCTGAGACACTGCGGCTGGTGGAGCTAGAGCCGCTGTCGTGGTCATCCTGGTGGAAAAACAAACAAAAACGCCTGTGAGGACAGAGTGGGAAGTAAACACAGGGATTCACAGAGAAGTCTACAGGCCTTAAGTTCACTCTGACAATTATTACCAAATGAAAGTAGCTGATACAAGAGAGTGTAGTGATCCTAGTGTCTGCAAAGTAATTTTTGTACCAATTAAGCTTTGATTATTTACATTTTTATGCACTTACTGCATTGTCCGGCTTGTATTGTCTAATTTTCAATCAAAGTAACCATGCTAAATTATAAAATCATGAAAAACTGTTATCTTTATCTGGTTATTGAGGGTAATCTAACTACTGTAAACTGAGTCTCTGCCCTCCTGTACGGCTGTGTGTGTAATGAGCAGGGGAGTGATGAGGGGAGCATATACCATACACCACTGTTTCTGAGCCATAAGCTACCCCTTACACCAAACCTTCCCACTAACCTTCCTCCCATCCACATTTACCAACCATCCCCGTGGCCTCTACAAATAAACTCTGGTCCTTGAATGAGAAGGGTGAAGGTCTCTCCTCCACAACAACACATGTCATCTGCACTCAAGAGATCAGCAGCCTGTTAATCTCAGGAATGCAAGTACAAAATCTCTGTGTGTTTATGTGTGTGTAGGATTGATGATGAAATGGACATCCCCTTCAGAGATGAGCCTGAAGATAAACAAAATGAGCCAAGATACGGGGTAAGGAGGTTATTTATTGGTTCAGCCTGTAGAGTGCCTCGGGCTAGTGGGTGCTCAGTAACTAAGACATGAGGTACAATTAAAGCAACAGAGACATGGGGAGAAACTGTCGAGAGGTCAAGAGATTGGGGTTAAAGGGCTAAAGCCAAGGACTTTGACTAGATATACAGTTTTAAGTCAAGTTTAGCAGATTCATAAATGCACAAAAAAGGAAGTAACAGGGAGTTCCCGTGTTGATCTTGTTGATACTATTTCAATATTTCTACCAATTTGTTTAAAATCTCTCCCAAAGCTTAAAGCCCAGAACCAAAGCTCTCACATCTGATGTCATCAAGTGACAAACCCTGGAGAAGCTCCATTAACAATAAAGAGACTGACTTTGTGGGCTTGTAAAATTTCTACTGGCAGATTGTCACCTTCTCCAGAGGATCTTGTTGTCTTGTTGCCAATGTTTAGGATGGATTTGCATGCTCTCAGCTTTGGATTCGACCGTTCATAATGGAACTAAAAGTTGTCAAATCTGTTTCTGTATGCAGATAAGAAATATTTGTCCAACTTACAACAGCAGCCAACTCGGCCGTAAAAAAAAAAAAAAAACTCTATCCTTTTAAAAACAGCAATTTGGAACATAGGGGAGCATAACTAAAAATAATGGTAACCATAAGTAAAAATTAAAGCATGGACAACATACTATGACTACACAGCTAAACAGCTAAAGTTACCACTACTCTACAGCTACTACATATATTACCAAATACCTCATATTCACATTCATGGTAGAAACAATCCTGGAACAGAGCGTGGTAGGAAGAAATAGGGAAAAAAAATATTAATGTACAAAAAGAAGAATTCTATAAAAGGTGGGTACAAAACAAACCAAACATTACAAACATTCTCAAAATTGAGAAGTCGGAGAAAAGGTAGAGAAAGAAGAGTGATTTAACACCCAGTATGGCATTGATTAGGGGTTACTACAGCACTGTAACCTTTTCACAGTCAGCCTGGGTGGTAAGTTAGTCACATAATTTTGACAAAGAAAGGGGAGATCACATGTGTTTAGCATTTAAGTGTCTCAGGAGTCACCCCTTATCCAGACTAATGTAAACACAAAAGGTGTCAAAGCCAAATATATTTGGCTACTCCATGCACACACACCTCATTCACAAATACTTAAATAAGCGAATGAAAACCCATAGTCACAACTTCCAGGAAAATCACATGCTGTACATACTGTATATACATGTACCCCACACAATTAACACTCTTTCCCTGGTTCTGACACTATTTAATGACAATGAACCCCTTTTTGTCTTTGTGGTTGAGTAATGAAGATTTGGTTTTAAACATAGTTTGCATAATTTGAGCTGTGGACACACTGACAGAGACGCAAGTATCCCCAGTGCGGTAAAGTAAACACGCAATAGCCAAAAGAGACGAGAGAGGCTTTGGCAGAAATATTTACACTTTACTTCACTAAGGGCCGAGGCAGTAGAGCTGCACCATGCAAGCAGTTTTTTCCTCATCAGTGAGTGGTGGGAATTAGTAAACAGAGAGGATGGAATAATAAATACTTCATCAAGGTTCCAAAGAGTAGAGATTGGCATATAATAAGATAGAAATTTGTTGCTCATTATTCACACTTAATCTGGAAATTTGTCATCACTTCAAAAGTTGCATCTGTAATATTTAGCGGTATTACATACAAAAAGACGGAAAAAATGACTGCTTTTTTAGATTAGGTAAATTTATAATGAGACACACTCACATGTTGCAGTGTTTAGTTTACATCACAATACAAGAGTTGAGCACATTAGAATTAGAAACAGTCTCCCTCCCTGTAGACTTTCATATCTATACCTAAAGGAATGCATAGCCCCGCAAGCCAAGAGTACATTGAGTTCAACAGCTTGAACTGCCACTAAAGAACAAGACTGCCAAATTTGGAAGTAGCGCAATTAAGCGCTCAATGTCACCGTGGGCAGTGTGCAATTCTCCAGAGGCGAAAAATGCCTTTTCAGAGGGAAGCCCTGGGACAAATGAAGTCTGCCTCAGCTGCTGCCGGGTAAACTGATCCTTCCAATGCCATGGCAGGGCACAGGACAGGGAGGGAGGGAGGGATGGAAGGGTAGAGAAGGAGAGAGACAGAAGGACCAGGAAAAGGGGGGCTGCTTCCCCTGCAGGCATGTCAACTCAGCTGTTGACCAAAGATGATGGTAGTTAAAAAGGAAAGAGAGAGACAAGAAACAAAGAGATAAGTGGAAACAATAACAAAGTAGGAGAAAGTGAGCCAGCAAGGCCAAAAGTAGTTGAGAAGCATTAAGAGTGAATGAGAAAATGAGACCAGAACAAAAGCACAGAAAAATGAAGCAGGGCCCGTCCCTGTGAGTGACAGGCGAGGGGGACCCCCTACTCAGAGGGTAAGTGGGCACCAGTGGAGGGTTAGGGCACAGGAAGGCCAGACATGACCTCTGTGCCCCTGCAGACGTCTGGCTCAGTCAGGGACCAGGACACAGTGTGTTGAATCTGTCTGAAGGGTCAACTCATATGAGCTGCGCAACACATTAGCTAAACCCCACCACCACCTCCAGCTATTAGGAACAGCACCTCTGCAGATACTCAACACAGTTTGCCTTGTAAAAATAAACGAGTTATAACCCACAGATACTATAAACCAGTAACAACATAACAGCCACTGACAATGTAATTTATATGTAAACTGTGATGTTAATAAGTAAAACTTGTGGAGGAAAAATTCAAATATTTTTAGCAGGTCATTTTAAGTCATTTCAGGTCACGTCAGACTCTGTTTTTCTAAGCATTGTTGACACTGCTTCAGTTAAAACTTTAACATATTCTTTAAAATAATTTTAGCTTACTGAAAATTATATAAGCATTGTAGCATAAGCTAAAACAAAAGAAAACTGCCAGGTTGTTTTCACAGCCTAATGCATATTTCAGAAAAAATAGACTTTGGCATTTTATTTTTGTTGTAAGTATTTTTATTAATTTCCGTTTAACACACTGAAAAAAAATGTTGGCAGGGATTAGCAGCTGACTACCCTGCTTGCCTGCAACTGCCTGATCTTTCAAACCCAAACATTTTTAAAACTGGTAAATTTCACACAGTTTCAGCAGATTAATGGGAGCATGCAGACCATTGCTGGATAAACACACTCTCTGTTATTGTTGTTTTTCCTCTGCAGGTTGCTGGCGAACTCATGCTGACATCAAAGCAGCAGGCCTGGAGATTGGAGGCCAGGCAGGGAAGGGCGAACGCCTATGGAGTGAGAAAATAAATGAAGGAAACCCAATAGCTCCTTATCTTAGGCAGACCTCCTCCTCCTCTATATTACTCATATACACATACAAACAAAGTCACACTCTGGCTATGACAAGCAGAAGCCCTGTCCCCCATGTCAGGATCCAAAGAGCAACATCCAGCAATCAAATCTCTTCCCCATTTCTACAAAAAACACTTACAGACAACATGTTTTGCCATATGACTTTCTTCAAGCCTAATAGAAAACCCTCTCCAAAACTGGCTCCCAGTGAATCATGGAGTACACTGTGTATGCGAGGAGTTTCAACATTACTGAAAACACTCACCGCTAAATTGATACACACACTCAGCAGAGAGCAGACTCTGTTGCTCCTGAAACAGTGCCTCTGTTCTCAGTGCTGCTAGTTCTCATTTCTCCTCCTCATGTCAGCTTGCTCTAACAGTTATTGTTCCTTCATCTAACTGAATTCCTTCTTTGCTATCACTTTATTCATTTTCGCTTCTGTTCATGTTTTATTTTCTTTATCGGTAATCTAGCTTGTCATTGCCATCTTCGTCCATCCACTACTTCTAAAGCTTCTCATTCCACCGATAACCAGCTAGTCTCAAGTTTGTTTTAACGGCGATGACCTTAGTTCTCATAACAATGATTTACAGCTGGTACAAAGAGGAACAAGACATGAAAAGGGGCTCAGTGCTTCAAACATACTGTCACAGTTTGGGATGGTTCCAGTAACGTCAAATGGAATGCAGCCACTTTTTTACACAAGCTGCTTGAACCATTGATGACAACCCAACTGGAATTTCAGCTAAAAAGAACAGAGCTCATCACAGTTGACTCAGATTACCTTCTCTTTAACGTCCCTGGGCTTCAAACACATCCATCAGCTCAGCTAAAAATTAGCTGCTAATGGCTTTTTAATGAAACTGTAACAAATGTAGTAAGCTATTTTACCATGATTAAAGACAGGGGGTTCATTTTCTCCTCAGAGGTAGAGTACAGAAGGCTACTGCCAGCTACA